GTGGTTGATAGTATCAGGTGGTGAACCAGGAGATAGGATACCACTTGACAAGCTGATAATAGAGTTCTTATGGTGTTGGAGTGCAACCTGATTGTAATATTATAGAGTATAGGATTCATTATTATTATGTGTGTGTATGTATCGTGTATGTGCTTTGTCCAGTAAATGTATCCCAATTTGCTGGTGTTTGCCCTTGTCCTAGTGAGGCTTCCCAGGAGGTAGGAAAGAAGGAGAGAGAGAGAGAAAGAACCAAGAACCACTGCCGTGGACAGGGTAAAAGGTAATACTAATAAGTCAAAAAGGGGATTGAGGAGATCATATCACCTATGGAGAGAGTGGGGAGTCACAGCGGCTCGAGTGGGTGTGTGCACGTGACAACGAGGCTAAGTGTTGGAGCCACATCCCCTAAACGTGTGACGTTGAACCCCTCTCCAAGAGCCAGAAGCGCCAAGGGTGATCTCCCAGTATAAGCACTCTACCGAGTTGTGGGTTGGGTTGTCCGTAGAGAAGGATCAACGACGACAACACCAACCAACCCACAGTCTATAATAACACACACACACATACGTCTACCACTCCCCACTCTGCGGCTGCTGAAGGTGGTGTTTTTTTTTTTTTTTTTTTTTTTTACATGCAAAGCATGCAATTTAAATACAATAAAAACAATACAAAATACAGAACAGAACAAAATAAAACAATAGACCACCGGCCAGAAGGGCCGACAGCACAGCACAACAAAACACAAACACGATAAATGCATAGAAAAATACAGCATACATCAAGGCACAAAACATAATACAATGGCAAACTAGCAATCACAGTAACACCACAAAACAAAACCTTCATAAAACAAAACATACATCAAGAGGCAGAACAGGAAACATAACAAGACAATCACATACATTCCAAACAAAACAAAGAACAAACACATACAACAGGTAAAGCCATATGAAAACACCAGGTCTAACGTACAGCACAAACAATACAGGAATAAAAACACACACACCAAGCCATCCGCCCCGTAAACAAAAGGCAAGGCCAAAATAAACAATAAAAATAAACAAGCAAAACACGCACACCTGAAAACAAAACAGGTACAAACACAACAACATACATGCACTGGTCTGAAGGACCGAGAATAAAACAACAGAAAGTACATCAAGAAACATAACAAGACACTTCAGCACAAAACAAATCAATACAAATTTATACAAAGACACTAAATACCGGCCTGAAGGGCCGACAACAAAAACACAACAATGAACAGAAACATAATGAAACACAGGAAAAAGAAACAACAATACCGGAAATACAAGAAATACAACAAAACAACGGTCATGAGAACAAACATAACACCGGCCTGAAGGGCGCACAATAGGTACAACACATTGCAAACAAACCACAGGTCCAAGAACACACACCAAACACACAGCAAGCACACAGACTACTCAAATTTCTCATACTTATCCGGCCACTCCGCCGCCGGGAATCGAATACAATACGCCTCCCAAAGTAACATGACGTCCTCCGGAACAGGTTCATCATGAACCGTACGAGGATCAGGCATTAACTCCGGCACACCCACAATAAAACACCGAGCCCGTCGAATCCAGATGGAAGAGGGGCACCACGGAACAGGACGCACGCAGTCAACAATTTCAAACTGCAAAGGATTCTTATCATCATACGCCACGCCGGAGGCCAAGACGAGAGGGAGAGGCTCCTTCCCACGAGGCCGGGCAATGGGCAGCACACTGGGAGCCTCCTCGGCTGCCTCACAGGGCCTCGCATCAACCACCGAAAGTTGTACCTGCTGGGACTCCCCACGCTTGGTATCCTTCTTCAGCACCAGCTTGAGGCCTCGGCTCGCACCAGAACCCACACCACCCACGTCTGTAGGAGCAACCACCCCCCACTGCGGAGAACCTTGCGCAGGAGAAAGAACAGGAGGTAAATCATACGCACAACCATCGTCAACAGCAGACACATGGACGTCAGCAACCACCAGCGACGTAGAGCGCGAAGCACCTGGAACCGCCACATCATCGCCCGAAGCTCCACCTGCGTCGATGTCCTCCACATCAGCCCAAGCAGTAGAAGAACGCCTGGAACGCTTGGGCACTGGCCGCACATCCTCACAGACGGAGGCGGACCCAGAACCATGGGCCACACAAACCGGGCGAACCGACACCCGTCGCAGTACGGCAGCAGCCTCAACCACAGGGGGAACCGGGCCGCACACAACAGGACGCTCTGCAGCCCCCCAACACCCAGCACAGCCGTAACACCTGGCGAGGGTGCAGGACCAGGCGCAGCAGCAGGAGACGAGGAAGATGAAGACGACCCGCAGAGACCATCCGGAAGACCCTCGGGAGCAACTGGCACAGCGAAGTGACCAGCGACAGGAGCCACCGTAACACCCGGAGAAGGGACATCAACCCCCGTGGACATGTCGGGTGACGCAGGGGGGGGGGTCCCATCAGCAGCGAACGGGACCTGCCCCTCTTCAACTCCGGAATCCACCCCCTGAGGGAGTGACAGGAAATCCTCTTCCCGAAACAAGTTAACAGGTGCAGCAGGGGCCTCAGAGCACCCGGCAGCCTGATGCCCTAACTGGCCACATCGGAAACAGGTACGGGGCTGCCGGGCATAATACACCCGGACGTAGTAACCCAGCAGCCGGACAGAAGATGGGATATCCGACCGCAGGTGCATGATTAAGGTACGGATGTTCGTCTGCTTCCCAGCATACTTCCCCGAGGAAAGCGTGTTCACCCGCACACTGATGACTGCACCATACCTCCCGAAGAAGCGCCGGAGAAGGTCTTCAGGGAACTCCAGGGGCGCACCGTGTACACTGACATAAGTCAGGGCACCACTTCGGTCCGAGACCGCAACAGAGCCGGCGCCATCCGGCAACTGCAACGAACGCCCTTCATACCGACGGAGGAAGTCCCGATACTCCTCCTCCCGCACGAACTTGATAATCACCCGGTGGGCCGTAACAAGCTCAACTCCGTAGACAGTCTCCACCGGGACACGAAGCATGTCGCACATCACCAACTCAATGGCTGGATAACCAGCCTTACACGAGAACTCTAGTCCCACGGAATTCACCCGCAGAACAGGAGGAATTGCAAGGCCCCCAATATCAAAACTGCCACGTCAACACGCAGCCAGGCAGGCAACAACACTGGGAGGGCAGTGACGCCCACACCACCTGGCGACCAAATGGCAAACAACCCCAGCAGTCACAGAGGCCGGAACACATCCTCACTCCACGGCTGCTCAGGGCAGACTCACCTAGGTTACCTTGAGGTTACCTTGAGGTGCTTCCGGGGCTTAGCGTCCCTGCGGCCCGGTCGTCGACCAGGCCTCCTGGTTGCCGGATGTAGGTGGTGAAGTCGACGTCCTCACTACTTCGTACACGTGGTCGGCAGGACCACGGTTGGCTGGACCACGGGGTGGCTGCACACACAGACCAGGATGGCGGCGTCAGGGGCCCCAGCTCTGCCTAGGCTAGGCGAGCAGAGCGAGACGCAGCATGACGGTTGACAGACAGCTGGGTACGGTACCACGCCTCAACACTGGCGAGGTACGGCGGTACGGCGCTACACGGCGTGGCACAAAAATGACAGAGTCCTTCACTGTTCACTGCTAATTCCTCGGAATTATGAATTTAAGGGTTCCAACAACACTGAAACCTTCTCAAAATCGTCTCTCCTACGACACCTTGTAGCTAAATCACGATAGACGATGGATGTCACTACCACACGACGATAACAGTATCCCACAGTATCGGGTTGAGTGCACGATGACGAGAGTGACTTATTGTGGCATTGCAGGTGGGATTTCCGGTGCCTGGCCTAGTGCTAGAAATCACGCCCTCCTCAAGCGACGTCCACGGGTAAGAATGATTTTCCCGCCAAGACAGCCCCGGGGCATACATGCGGTGCCTTCAGCCTCTTGACCAATCACCGCGCGGAGCATTCCCGAGGCCCAGGAGCTCTGGCCAATGGCGCTCCTTCCTTGACGACGCTATCCCCCCCCCCCCTCTCAGGAGGGTGGCACGTGATGGCGCCCAAGCCTACAACCGTTGACCCCCAAACCTCCCTCAACACTTGAAATGGTACACAAATTCACAGAAATCGACTCCCTGCTATTTCTTTCTTCACAGAGCTGATACGGCGATTAGAATGACATCAATGACTAGCATTTGTCAAGGGCTGTCCAACGACACCCAGCACGACTGTGAAAGAGTTTTATTTCGAAAAATGAATCATGGTGCACAGGCACCTGTGCACTCGGCACTGTGCATCCATTCAATGTACAAGGTAGCTGGAAAATTCCATCTCCTGACAGAACCAAAGAGCCAAAGCTCAACCCCCGCAAGCACAACTAGGTGAATACACACACAGTATGAGGTATGTGGAAGCTGACAGTGTTACACACGGACACCGGAAGACATGCACACTGTCACACATTGATACTCTGATTTAGGCTCTGCATGAAAATTTTGCATATAGAATAATAAAGCAATTCTCCAGTTCACAAACTATCATTGTTCAAATTGTATAGAGCAGGCGTTATATATTTAGAGGTATAAGCTCCCAATATAATCACACAAAATACACCAGCATAAAATCTGTTGATACATCGCCAAAGAGTATTTGAATCTTGTTCTTAGCTCATCGTGACAAAATAATTCTAGCAGTTCCATTAATGAGTTTCACAACTAATAGGGAAAGCTTTTATTGGCCTTAATATGATCATTCAGACGACAAGTATTCGCTAACAAGGAAGATATACACCCGAGAAGTCTGTATACCGTGGGTCTTGGTGTATATGCACCAAGATAAAAAATATACTTGCTGGCTATAGTTAGGAGGCTATTATGGTGGCCTTAACAGCCCTCCCGGTGGACGGAAGAGCTGTTAAACCCAACACTGTAACGACCCCTAAGCTCATCAGCTCAGCTCTCCTGTTGTTCCTCCTCTCAGGTGACGGACGACCTGTGGAGCATCACGGACCGCATGCCCGTCCTTAACGAGACCAAGTGGGCCAATTCGGTCCGCGAACGACTCGTCACTTTCGAGAAGTCCCTCATCCGGGCCATCAAAAACGACGGCTGGGATGGGGACGAGGACCTACACACCCAGCAGTGGACCTTCGCGGGGGCCCTCTTCTACTCCATCATCCTCATCACCACCATCGGTAAGTGCCGCTGCAGATGTCATCAACTTCATCAGCATCATCACCAGATTCACTCCCCCTCCCGCACTCCTCATCTTTCTTATTTTGGTTCTCATAAACACGTCATGAGGCTACGGCGGGCAGTTCTGTTATCCGGATTGTGTGAATTTGTGAGCATTTATATAAAAGTTAGCTTCTTTAACAACAGTGTCACTATTTGATAGTGAACAATTATGTCCATGGCAAATAAAGCTGTTAGAACTGCAGCATTATTAGTAAAAAAAAAAATAGGATAATTGTCTACATTGTCAAATGACAATGCGCAGCATTACCGAAAACTTCTATTTGTACATTGTTCACTATCAGGGTGAGTTGTGTCGTCTGTAACTGTGTACCGGTGTCACAGACTGGTACTTGTGTCACCTGTGTTGTCTGTGACTGTGTACCGGTGTCACAGACTGGTACTTGTGTCAACTGTGTCGTCTGTGACTGTGTACCGGTGTCACAGACTGGTACTTGTGTCAACTGTGTCGTCTGTGACTGTGTACCGGTGTCACAGACTGGTACTTGTGTCAACTGTGTCGTCTGTGACTGTGTACCGGTGTCACAGACTGGTACTTGTGTCAACTGTGTCGTCTGTAACTGTGTACCGGTGTCACAGACTGGTACTTGTGTCAACTGTGTCGTCTGTGACTGTGTACCGGTGTCACAGACTGGTACTTGTGTCAACTGTGTCGTCTGTAACTGTGTACCGGTGTCACAGACTGGTACTTGTGTCAACTGTGTCGTCTGTAAATGTGTACCGGTGTCACAGACTGGTACTTGTGTCAACTGTGTCGTCTGTAACTGTGTACCGGTGTCACAGACTGGTACTTGTGTCAACTGTGTCGTCTGTGACTGTGTACCGGTGTCACAGACTGGTACTTGTGTCACCTGTGTTGTCTGTAACTGTGTACCGGTGTCACAGACTGGTACTTGTGTCACCTGTGTTGTCTGTAACTGTGTACCGGTGTCACAGACTGGTACTTGTGTCACCTGTGTTGTCTGTAACTGTGTACCGGTGTCACAGACTGGTACTTGGGTCACCTGTGTCGTCTGTAACTGTGTACCGGTGTCACAGACTGGTACTTGTGTCACCTGTGACTGTGTACCGGTGTCACAAACTGGTACTTGTGTCAACTGTGTCGTCTGTAACTGTGTACCGGTGTCACAGACTGGTACTTGTGTCACCAGTGTCGTCTGTAACTGTGTACCGGTGTCACAGACTGGTACTTGTGTCACCTGTGTCGTCTGTGACTGTGTACCGGTGTCACAAACTGGTACTTGTGTCACCTGTGTCGTCTGTAACTGTGTACCGGTGTCACAGACTGGTACTTGTGTCACCTGTGTCGTCTGTGACTGTGTACCGGTGTCACAGACTGGTACTTGTGTCACCTGTGTTGTCTGTAACTGTGTACCGGTGTCACAGACTGGTACTTGTGTCACCTGTGTCGTCTGTGACTGTGTACCGGTGTCACAGACTGGTCACCTGTGTCACACTGCTGCCAAGGGCTGGGTCTGGCTGTGGTAGTGTAACTTGTACACCTCTACAGGTAACACTGGCGTTATGTGGCTTGTAACACAGTACTCTCACCACAGGCAGCAGCAACTTGTCGTAGTATGGTAACCTGTAACGCTGTAGTCGTCTCATAGTTGATGATGTGGGGATTTGGGCCGTGAGTCTTGATGAGCTGGGATGCTCCCGGACGCAGGTTCGAATCCTCGTCACGGCCCTTGTGGATTTGTTCATTTGATGTGATATTTTGTGGGGTTAATACATAAGGAACACTTTTGTCATTGCCTCAACATTGTCAATCAATAATTTATGAAGTGGTAGAGAACGTAAACAAATTAGCGGATTCAAAACTCTAAACAATTTTTTAGTCAAACAAAACCGGAGAGGAGGAGGAGCGCGAGATCTGCTTCGTTGATTGTTTTCTTATTGTTACCACCGGAGGTGATTAGTTTATTGTGCACCCCATACTCATCCTGTGAGCAGTAGCGCAAAAAGGATTACTGCTTTGTTGACATCAACAAGATCCGGGAAGTTGTGCCACTGACCATAATTTTGGCATCGTCGGCAAACATTGAGAGGAATGAGTCTATATCCTCTGGAAGATCATTTACATATATCAGAAACAGGATTGGTCCGAGTCCCACAGAGCCCTGTGGGACTCCACGTGTGACTTCTCGTCAATCTGAGGTCTCACTGACTAATCTTAACTGACAATCCCGGGTAAGAAAATGTAAGAGAACGAGATAACTATACACAAATGAGGAGAAGGTTAAATAATTACACGCGAGAAATGAAATACTCGAAACGAAGCCAAAGTGAAGAGAGAAGAAAAAAAAACGACACACTATGCGTGTTAGTGACTGCGAGAATATAGGAATACCAGTATTATGTAATCTCAGCAACCATTGTGCCTTCTGGTGATTAATTATTATTATTATTATTATTATTATTATTATTATTATTATTATTATTATTATTATTATTATTATTATTATTATTATTATTATTATTATTATTTTTATTACGACGCCCAGTCGCATCAATGGTATACTAAGAATATCGCATATCTACAGTAATTACAATTTAAAATGTATAATAATTATTGTTGAACTTCTACTGGTATGGAGGAAACATATGTGTGGCTCAGGTGATGAATGGGTTCCCTGCTCCACACATGCACCTCCCCACATGTGCTACTGCTCCCCCCCCCCCACATGCCACCTCATGCATGGGGCATGACACCCACACGCCAGTCTCCCAGATCCTCCCTACCTATAATTATCTTTCCTTCCCAGCCATTCTCTCAGCCTCTGCATTGTTCCCTCTCTCTCATTTTACCATTCTCCCTCCCTCATGTTCTCTCTCTCTCTCACGTTCTCTCTCCCTCCCTCCCTCACTCTGGATCTTGCTCCCAGGGATGGAGTGATGACCCCGACGCTGATCCAACGTGGAAACAAAGATGGAAAAAATGGAGTTACATCACACTGTGCATAATCTGACCCACATATCAGTCTCCTTTGTTTGAAGCGACGTGACAAGGGCCTGGGTATTTGTGAGTATGTATGATATTTATGCCCCACAGTTCCCCACGATGCCCCACAGTGCCCCGCAGTGCCCCACAGTGCCCCACAGTTCCCCACGATGCCCCACAGTGCCCCGCAGTGCCCCACAGTGCCCCGCAGTGCCCCACAGTGCCCCGCAGTGCCCCACAGTGCCCCACAGTGTCCCGCAGTGCCCCACAGTGCTCCACAGTGCCCCGCAGTGCTCCACAGTGCCCCACAGTGCCCCACAGTGCCCCACAGTGCCCCACAGTGCCCCACAGTGCTCCACAGTGCCCCACAGTGCTCCACAGTGCCCCGCAGTGCTCCACAGTGCCCCACAGTGCCCCACAGTGCCCCACAGTGCCCCACAGTGCCCCACAGTGCCCCGCAGTGCTCCACAGTGCCCCACAGTGCCCCACAGTGCCCCGCAGTGCCCCACAGTGCCCCACAGTGCTCCACAGTGCCCCACAGTGCCCCACAGTGCCCCACAGTGCTCCACAGTGCCCCACAGTGCCCCACAGTGCTCCACAGTGCCCCACAGTGCCCCACAGTGCCCCACAGTGCCCCACAGTGCCCCACAGTGCCCCACAGTGCCCCACAGTGCTCCACAGTGCCCCACAGTGCTCCACAGTGCCCCACAGTGCTCCACAGTGCCCCGCAGTGCTCCACAGTGCCCCACAGTGCCCCACAGTGCCCCACAGTGCCCCACAGTGCCCCACAGTGCCCCACAGTGCCCCACAGTGCTCCACATTGCCCCACAGTGCTCCACAGTGCCCCGCAGTGCTCCACAGTGCCCCACAGTGCCCCACAGTGCCCCGCAGTGCCCCACAGTGCCCCACAGTGCCCCGCAGTGCCCCACAGTGCTCCACAGTGCTCCACAGTGCCCCACAGTGCCCCACAGTGCCCCACAGTGCCCCACAGTGCCCCACAGTGCCCCACAGTGCCCCACAGTGCCCCACAGTGCCCCGCAGTGCCCCACAGTGCTCCACAGTGCCCCGCAGTGCTCCACAGTGCCCCACAGTGCCCCACAGTGCCCCACAGTGCCCCACAGTGCTCCACAGTGCCCCACAGTGCCCCGCAGTGCTCCACAGTGCCCCACAGTGCTCCACAGTGCCCCACAGTGCCCCACAGTGCTCCACAGTGCCCCACAGTGCCCCACAGTGCCCCGCAGTGCCCCACAGTGCCCCACAGTGCCCCACAGTGCTCCACAGTGTCCCACAGTGCCCCACAGTGCCCCACAGTGCTCCACAGTGCCCCACAGTGCTCCACAGTGCCCCACAGTGCTCCACAGTGCCCCACAGTGCCCCACAGTGCCCCACAGTGCTCCACAGTGCCCCACAGTGCCCCACAGTGCCCCACAGTGCTCCACAGTGCCCCACAGTGCTCCACAGTGCCCCACAGTGCCCCACAGTGCCCCACAGTGCTCCACAGTGCTCCACAGTGCCCCACAGTGCTCCACAGTGTCCCACAGTGCCCCACAGTGCTCCACAGTGCCCCACAGTGCCCCACAGTGCCCCGCAGTGCCCCACAGTGCCCCACAGTGCCCCGCAGTGCCCCACAGTGCTCCACAGTGCCCCGCAGTGCCCCACAGTGCCCCGCAGTGCCCCACAGTGCCCCACAGTGCCCCACAGTGCTCCACAGTGCCCCACAGTGCTCCACAGTGCCCCACAGTGCCCCACAGTGCCCCACAGTGCCCCACAGTGCTCCACAGTGTCCCACAGTGCCCCACAGTGCCCCGCAGTGTCCCACAGTGCTCCACAGTGCCCCGCAGTGCCCCACAGTGCTCCACAGTGCCCCGCAGTGCCCCACAGTGCTCCACAGTGCCCCACAGTGCCCCACAGTGCCCCGCAGTGCCCCACAGTGCCCCACAGTGCCCCGCAGTGCCCCACAGTGCCCCACAGTGCCCCGCAGTGCCCCACAGTGCC